TACAGTCAGGCTGTCGCAGTAAGCCGATTCGGGAAATCCTCATAGACGCCACGGTTGAGGCCCCTCCTCGACGTCGAACCAATTGGCAGACACGGCGACCGTCTCTCTTTTTCTCCTCAGGAGGGTGACTACTTCGCCCTCTCGTCTTACTTGTTCAACCATGTCCTCAGTAAAAGGTGTCGAAGGTCTTCCCCCTCAGAATATACGCTAAGCAGACTGTTCGTACAGTCGATAAGTTGTTACGTCGCCGACCATGACGAAAGCGCGACAGGGCCTGAATATCATTGAGTTTGATCCAAACACTACCTGCTACGGAAAGAGAATCCCAAAAGAAGCCTGGGACAAAATCAGAGTTCAGGTGTTGCCGTACTTGGCCTTGCCAGTTGCCAAAATCCGAGAACAACTCGAGTCACAGGAAATTTACGTCACAGAAAACCAACTTTACCGGAAAATCAGGACATGGCGATCCGAGAAGGAGGGGATCAAGCGAATCTCCCTGGGCGACAGGTCCCCTCGGGATCTCGCCACACTGAAGCAAGTCGGTGGCCGCGAGAAGAAAAAAACCAAAGACATTGCACAGACGCCGCGGGTCCGCGTCACACCCCGGTTCACGACCATGGACTCTACCACTTCAAACATTGACTCCGATCTTGAATCAACACCGCAGCGTACGAATCCTCCGGTCCCCTCGCAACCCTCGGTACAGAGACAAAAAGTGGTATTCGGGGACCACAACCGAAATGGCCACATCTCATCCGACCGTGGCTGAGGGTTCTTCCCCTTTCTCCCTTTAGTTGGGAATATTTGGGTCTGCCTGAATATCTATAATCAATCTCGAGTCGAGATGGATAAGGAACTGGGGATATCGTTGGGATGGCCCCTACTGGTGGATGTATTTACCTAGGAGGCTCTTTATGAGACTGATTGAGGATCAGGCTAGGTTGGTGGGTAGGTCGATCGACGACGTGATTTACGACGTCGCCGGGAAACGCCTGGGTCAGGAATGTGCTCTTGTTAGGGTGGGGGTTTAGCCAAGGTCTATGTAAGCAGGACAGAACCTCGCCGAGAACGAAAACGAGAGACAGACGGGACACCTATGTATCTATGTCGAACTAGCAGGATCGTGAATAGGTCATGGATTGGTCTGTCTACCTGTGCCTGTCCTCAGGCCAGGTCTGATCGTCTACATACAAAATGCTAGGCGCCAGGAAGACCTCTCCTGAGTCCTGCCATGTCGCAAGACCTCCTGGCACTAGGCACAATCAGGTAACGCCTGAAGCGCACGTAAAACGGCAGCTGTCTCAGGCGCAACAATCTACTCCGAGTCGACCAATACGATCATTTCACATTATTCAATATCGCCGTTCTCTGCCAGGTGTCAGTGACACCTACATTTTAGGTATAGGGCAAGACGTAAGGGACCCCTCAATAGTTCTACGGTCCTAGTCAATAAGATAAATAGGCATTTACTATACGTTGGATGGTGGACCGACGTGGCCCGACAGTCCGCCTCACCGGCTCAATTGAGATCGACCTCCTCAGGACTCACCGGGGGGTTTTCCTTCCCCTTCGGCAAGGCTGATCAAACGCCCCCGTATAACCTCACACGACGGAACAATGTCGACCGACAGCTACGTCGTCTTCGACGTGCAGCGTTACACCATCCGCCTCAAGGCCCGAGCTTCGATATGGATACCTACAGTTCAAGTACCGTAAGCGACGACTCTTTATGCATAGTGTCTAGTATCCATCATCAACCCCCCCTCCAAGAACAAATCCGAGTCTCGAATCGGACCGAGCTAAGCCAGGAGGTTGCAGAAAGGAGCCCGACAAGAGCTAGAGATGTCATAGCTATGGATATCTCAACATAGCCGGATCGGACGGGGAGGTGACCGGCAGGTCAAGGTGGTGTGCAGTG